ATTGGCAGACTAGACTTTGTAGTGAATCAACTGCACGGTGTACAAGCACACTGTGAATTCTGTGGCTCAGTATGGTAATATTACCAAAATGGTGACAATGGCTCACCATGAGGTCATTTTCTATAATAGGCAAACAGGAGTGATACATCAGCAAATGTAATACATTACATTGCATTGACCAGAGCAAATCAAATACTTAATCTGTTAAATGATGAATCTACTTGCCCTTTTGATTTGCGGGGAACATTTAAACCCACTCATTATAGGTTTTTTTTAAAAAATAAAGGAGAACTGTGACAACAAAAATATAAGTAAAAGTTTCTTGACACCCAGCACAAAATGAACATTAGACCAGTTGAGAAGTGTTATATGCAAAATACTATTTTTCATTAGGTACAAGCAGAAACTTGTACAGTACACTAAGTATCTTTAATAAAACAATAAAATAAAATGCATTATATTATTATTTTATTATTAGAGATGCTCTCTGACCACTGCCTATAAATTATGGATTACCTTTAAGCTATCTAAATGTGATTAAACATGACTAGTAATAACCATAACCACTATGTAACTAAATCATATTTGTCATATGCACATAATTGTAATCGACTTGCCAGAGGAGGATGGGCTCCCCCAGCTGAGTCTGGTTCTTCTCAAGGTCCAACCTCCCTGTTCACCTAAACATCTTATGGAGTTTTTTGTTCCCTTGCCACAGTGAGATAATATTCTGTACAGCAACTATGAACGAGATGTTTGGTGAAAAGTGCTATAGAAAGCAAACTATTACATTATGCACAACCTTATAAGTGACTAAAATAAGGAAAAGCAGGCCTGTGTAGCTGTTAACTAGTGCTGCTCGGCTGTTTCTGGGTTTTTATGTAAAGTCCAGAACAGTGTAACTGCATTCAGACAATATTTCATCATGACATCGTCACATTAAATCAGCCCAAAACGATGCAGAAGTGCAGGCATATCTGCCATAACGCACAGCATTTTGCTCCAGAGCTCTGTTGCTGTTGGTAGGCCTTGCTCACACTGATGGAAAGACAATGCGGGCATTTTGACAAACGGTACACAATGTACGGCTCCTTGCCTATAGCTCTGAAGACTCCTTCAAACGATGTATACTATGTACAAACCTATAATGACCCGGCGCTGCAAATATTTCCACGGAATTGGAGAATATGTAAGGCGTAAATGTGTTGACAGGAGGCGCAGGAAAGCTTCTTCTCGCCTGTTAAGCTTTAGTTTGAGCCAGAGAGCAAAGATTGATTCACGCAAACACTCAAATGCCAATCTTGCCCTCGCATTTTTTAAAGCAGACATAACATGCACAGTCCACTAAATATTATTGATGCAAAGCCCACTCCCCACCCCACCGGGCAACGCTTAGAAAATTCAAGCGGTTTCGGATTCGTGACACCGGTGGCGTGGAGCGCCGCGCCGCGCGCCCTGCCTATAACGCAAACGCGTTGAAAAACACGGGCGTTTAGGTAAGCAAACGGATGCTCGATTACAAACCTGAAGTAAGGAAGCAAGGAAGAAAATAAGAGCTTGTTGTATACTCACCGCGTCTACAGTGGTTGTGGAGGTAATTTAAAGGGCCAGGTTCGCGCAGATTGTTACCCCCCCTTCTAAACAAACACCACCCCCTCCGTGCACCAGTGTCCACCCAGTCAGTCCCCCCACCACCGGTGACAGTGTTCTCGCACACAAACTTGCTTTTCTCTCCTGGGAAAAACCTGAGTCGGTGCTGAGTCAAATAAGGCGGCTCTCCGTTAAAATCGAAAACCAATCAGTTTCGCCAGCTCTGCCCTCTCCACCCTCATCGGGTGCCTACGGGTTTGGTTGCGTCCGTCGGTGAACTGTTTCGCTGCTCGATTGGATTTTGGGGGGTTTTGAGCTGCCGGGCGGTTTAAGAAGTACACTTTACGTGCAGCGGTTCATCGACCCAGTCTTCATTAGCCTACACATTTGGGCGCACCGAACTCGTTACAGTCTTCCACCGCAGTATGCAGTAACGCCTACTGGCCCAAGAGGGCGCTAGTGTACAAACTCTGTTCACACATGGAAGAAGAACGACGATATTGAATATTTCATTATTATATTTTAATTTCAATATATTTCATTATTCCATTTTTTGTATTCAAAACTGTTTGGATGTGTATTAATTTCAATCATTGCTGATACCTATTTCCATTACTACTCATCTGCTAGTTGATAACATTTATTCTGTTTCTACAGTAATATTTATTCCATCTTTACTTGATTAGTAGTAGCCTAGCTATATATATATATATATATATATATATATATATATATGAAGAGTTCAGATGCAAAAGCCTCTAAGTGCCATTTGAAATTTTCTTCTAGAATGATAATTTTTATCAAGCTTGTATTTAAGTTCAGTAATTTCACTTAAATGACATTAGGTAATCTTCATCCCCATTTAAGTGAAATTACTGAACTTAAATATACTAGCTTGATAAAAATTATCATTCTAGAAGAAAATTTCAAATGGCACTTAGAGGTTTTTGCATCTGAACTCTTCATATAGTATATATATATATATATATATATATATATATATATCAGAAATGTTGCTATTGGAATAAGTAGCCTAGCCTAGTAGGCTAGCCTAATTATCTTTGTAGTTACTTGTAAAATTTAAAATTATCCTATTAGATTTTAAGTTTATTAACATAAATATAGGCTTAGTAAAAGAAATAGCACTTGGTGGCATAGTAATTCTTAAAGAGATAGTTCACCCAAAATTGCAAATTCTGTCATCATTTACTAACCCTCATTTCATTCCAAACCTTTATGACTTTCTTTCTTCTGTGGAATAAAAGAAGATATTTTGAAGAACGTTGGCAACCAAACCGTTTTAGTTCCCTGACATTTCGCAAAATATGTTATTTTTAATGTTCCACAGAAAAGCAAGTCATTCGGATTTGGAATGATATGAGGCTGAATAAATGATGACAAAATATTCATTTTTGGTAAACTATCCATTTAAAAAAAAACTCTCAGAGTTCCCTTGCAAATGCTATTTCATAGGTATTAATGTTGCGTATGTTACACAACTGCAGAGATGTGTAACATACGCAACAATAATACGGCTTTAGAGGGATGTGTTTTGCTTTCTTGAATAAGCCATATATATGTGTTAGATATAGGCTACTGTGGATCTGTACCTCCAGGCACATGTGGCATTTGGCAAATGATCAGAGTGAGCCAGCCTTAATAATAAAGCCTATACGGTTCCCATCCGAACTAGGTCTTTCAAAGCTTTTAAAATGCAGTCATGGCAGTTTATAAGACTGTTCCCTGTGGCAGTTCAAAAGACATTATTAAAGTCAGCTAATCGCATAATGGACTGTTAATCTAACCCTTTTAAGCACAGAATATTGAAATTGTGTCCAATGGGAGTTGCATTTTCACTGTCCAATTGGAAGCAGGTTTGAGTTTTTGGTTACCTGTTTACTTAAGCCATCTGAAATCTATTTTAGGTCTTTTTAAATTATGAAATACATAAAAACTCACCCATGTATACATCCACCTGAGATTTGTGCTCGTGAATGTTAAAGATGTTTACCTTTATCTGTTTGCTTTGAGACACTCTACTGTTTTATTCAAGGAATGTGTAGACGATTTGTCTTTTCTTTCTGCTTCACTTCACAGCCTCCCTTAGGATCCCTGCAAGATTCTCATTGTGTCTTTGGATTCTCAAAGGTCCCAAATGACTTGTGCTACCATTTGATTTGGCACAGCATAGTTGCTGTATTTTTACAGTTGGATGTATTAATAGTAAATGGGGGTGGAAGACACTTTATTGCATTTTGTCCTCTGGAACATGAAATTTTGCTGATAGCAGTATATTTTTTTTCATTTTCTTATGCTTTGAAGTCATGCAGTTCTCTCTCCTCTCTCCCTCCGAAAGCAGCAGTTCATCTACCAGTCTGCATGGAAACTGCAATACTGCTGAGAAAGGAATGAGGTGGTGCAGTTGTTGGGAGGCGGGGGGCAGAGAGAGAGAGAGAGAGAGAGAGAGAGAGAGAGAGAGAGAGAGAGAGAGAGAGAGGAGAATGAAGCAGTGCATCACAGTCAGTAGAGTTGATTCATGCAGGTTCCCTGGCAGCCGTTATTTTGTTCTGTGCAGCTGGTTTGATTCTCAAAACATCATAGTGAAGCTCCTGATTTGCCATGTTTTTCCTCTCTCCCTCAGGTTGCCTGTGTGAAATACAAAGGCATGATCATTCAAATCTTTAGAATCGGAAAGAAATTGGCAACTTTTTACATTTGACATTTACACAGTTTACATATGCACCCAGTGCTATAAAATGGCTTGTTGCTTATGTGTTTTTCCCCTTCACGTTGGATTGTCATGCCATATTAATTATTAAATTATAACCATTTTTTAAATTACTTTTCCCTTGAAACAGTAAAGTAAGGGATTACATTTATTTTTTATGTAATTTAATTTGTTACATCTGATGTAATTCCATTAAATACTGTAGCCTATATATATATTTGATAACAATGATAATTGTAGAAATTAAATATCAACCTGAACCAGTTGACCAATAAGGATAGACATGAAACTGCTCTTTTAATTCTATTAAATAAATAATATAAAATTATATAGCCTATGTACAATATATACTTGTTGAAAGCATTGGACTTTTGAAACCTATATTAATTGATTATGAAAATCATTTTAGTTTTCTCTAATTAGCCAACTTTTGCCTTATAGCATGCATTTCACGCCCTTTTGCAGCACTTTCAGATCTTTACACGGACTATTCAGTCTGTTTGTCCCATAAAATCCTTGACTGCATGCAGCACAGTTGAGGCTTTACCGAATGTGCCTTTATGCATCACTGCTTTGTAAATTCCATCATTTGTGTTTCTGAGCTTCCACACCTGGGTCAGCTGTGATGTTGCCATGGAAACCAGGTTTAGCACAGGGGGGTTACAATCAGAGGGAAACAAGCTTTGCTTTAATTGTTTTTATTATGAAAATCAATTTGCAGATTTATTAGAGAATATTTGCAGGTATATATCTACACATTTGTTAGTATATGTACACAGTTTTTTCCTTCATTTGGGATGCGTGAGCACAGCATACCATGGAAGACTATTGCTAGGACATATCATAGTTGCTAATAGCTATAATCAAAAAGAACTTTTGTAAAATATTGTACAAAAAAATAATTAAATAATAAAATGCAGAGGATTTAGGTTGATAAGTCACTTCACAGTTTTGTAGCTTGCCCTCATGCTGGCTAACATTAAGTGGGACCATGCATAGTCTGGATTATGAAATGGAGGTCAACATTTACATAAGTTTCACAGTACATTCCATTACCCCTTGGGCATTTAAAGTGCTCACTGTGTAAACCAGATTTAGGATAGCAACTATGCATTAATGAGAATCCAGATAAATGTACAGAAAGTCCCCTGGAATCCCAGCCAAACACAACAGTGATTGAAGAGCTTTAAAATGAATCGTGTCCATGGCTCATGTAGTGTTATATTCTTTACATACAATTTGCAAGAATTTACAATAAAAAGTGCATGATAAAATGTGGTTCACAAACTGATTTTATACACGGAACTGGTATTGGCATTCCGGGGGCAAATCCATGTTTGTGTGTCAAGCCAACCAAGAGGATCACAGGTAGCTGACACTCTTCAGAGAGCGCAGACTTCCCGTGCATGTAAAACGCAAGATGCTCTGCAGTTTTCCTCTCGTGCAGCTTGCAGTGCCTCTAATGGTATCAGCAGTGTGACTCATGCACCAGCTGAGTGGGCTTTATAGAGATTGGACACACAGATTCGGTTACAATGGATCTGAATACAGTCTAAACTTCAAACACAAGATGGATGAGGCGGTATCCCTAATTTAGAAAAATCAGCAAAACTCTGCAAAGTGATAAAGAGGGATTTATGACTTTATGCATGCAGAGCAGAACTACAGTCACCAGTAGGGAGGTGGTAAATTATAGCACCATTTTTCAGGGATGACTGTGTTGGTGGGCCATCCAGGGAACTGATATTAAAATATTAATCATATACATCAAACAAGCTGTCGTAATATTAGCTGACAGTAAACTATATATGAATTATGTTTTCAGTTCTATTGCAAATGCATGTCACAGTATATCAGTAGATATCATTTAAATTTGAATTTAGTTAGGTGCATATAATGTTTGATATATTCTTATTTTTAATTTTTCATACATGGTTGTTGTTGTTATTATAATAGCAGGTGTCATTCAAAATGCTTTATTTACAGGATAGTTCAAACAAAATAAACATCTACACACTTCTGGTGAACCCTGTTCAAAAACTAGCTTTTTACACAGCATAACATGATAAAATAACGCTGTCTGCCTTTAATGCACAACCTGAACACATATTAAAGGGGCTCTTTAGCGCATCATTTGTACAAGGCAATCAGCTGGTTAAATACAAATAAAATGCCATATAATCAAGGCCCTTTTTGAACTCAAAGGTTTCTTTTGTCAAAGGCTGATTTGCAGGGTGATTGCATTCTCTTGAACTGAAACAGGTTGGCGGTATGACCGTGAAGGACACAAAAACTGAATTTGTTTCGAGCCAAAAACTCCTGTAATGTCTGAAACTGTGATGTGAATGGTTCATTCTGGAAAAAACAGTTGAAATGTTTGAACAAAAAATGCTTCTTTGACTCTCATAACACTCCATATTATATCTACACTTCAATGTTCACATAGTCTCTGATCAATTGGGTGAGAAGACTTGCAAAGCCACAATTTAGTCTTGCTGCCAAAACACACCTCCTCCAAATGCATTCATTTCCTGATTGATTTTAAGAGAGCTACATTTGTTATTGTCTCAATTATACTTGAAAATATAAGCAGTTCATCTTGAGAAAAATAAGAGGAGCTTACTCTAAACTAGTGGGGAAGCCATACGTGTCTACATTTTGAGCAGATGATTGCCAGAGATGATGATAATGATGATGAAGATGATGATGTGTGCTTGCCGCTTTACATAAGCACGAGTGCATCTGCATGAAAAGTAAAGTGTCAATATGCTTTCAGATTTCAGAACTACCTTGATGTCACTGAAGGAAATCATTTCATAAAGCATCAAACATTTCTCTGGCTCATGTTTAACAAAATGATTGTCTTGAATATTGATAGGTATTATTTAAGATATGAGGACATGTAAAAGTAATCATCAAAATGTTATGAGGATAACAAATAAAAGTGGATTCTACACAATCTGACACAAAGGATTAATGAGTGGTTTGGTAAATACTGACCTTATTTCCTCAATCTGACGAGTTACACAAAGTCTTCTGTTTGGAAAACATCCTTATAAAGTCTGCATCTGCTTTAGCAATGCAGCTGCAACCATTCAATAAAATGATGTGCAACATGAACTGAAAAGGGCTGTGCAGCAATCGATTGCTGTCTGAATATTTCTCAGATGTGAGAGATAGTGGTGATGCTCTGTAAAACAATAGAGACAGACAAGGCAATATGAATGAGATGGGGCTTGTTAAGGCCAAAGACTGATGGTGAAGGATGAGATCTAGGAAGTCAGAGTGAAATCCTTGTTATCGGAAATTAGCATGAAATGTCAAATAACACCATCTCTATTCATTTTTCTCTCCTCTCTCAGGTCCTTTCCTTTGTCATTTTATCACTCTACCGCTCCGGTTCTGCCTCTAACAAGCGGTCTACATGATGCTGCATTTCCCTTTCAGCTTGTCAGCCCTGCTTTGCTTCCCAGAACGCTTGCCATCGATGTTCAAACTCATGTTCCTCTTCTTCTCCAAGTTGAGAAGCTCCTGGAACAGCTCAGTGACATTGTGGTTAGTCTTAGCCGAGGTCTCCATGAAAGCACACTTCCAGGTCTTGGACTGGGCCTCTCCATCCTCGGTATTGACTTCCCGTTGAGTCTCGTCACTCTTGTTCCCCACGAGCATGATTGGGATGGTCTCTACGTTGCCTTTGATAGCGAGAACCTGCTGGTATATGGGCTTTAATTCTTCCAGGGACTGCTTACTAGTGATGGAGTAGACTAGGATGAAGGCGTGACCCTTGGAGATGGACAGACGCTGCATGGCCGGGAACTGGTGGCTGCCAGTTGTGTCTGTGATCTGCAGGGTGCAGACGCTTTTGTCACAGCTGATCACCTGCCGATACGTGTCCTCCACCGTCGGGATGTAGGTGTCCCGGAAAGTGCCTTTGACAAAACGGAGCACCAGTGAGCTCTTCCCCACACCCCCTGCTCCAAACACCACCACACGGTAGTCGTTGCTCTGCTCGGGCATCTTGAGCTTTCAATTGAGCCGCTCGCTTTTTTAGACCTAATAGAGAAAAAAAGAAACATTTAGATGATTGCGTATTGAATATAGCCTGGAATGCCAGACGTACATCAAGATGGTAGGTCTGGGAACTCATCATTGACAGGGTTCAATCCGAGGGACGGGTCACGGGATAAACGGTTGTCTTTCAAATTCTCTCTGCACGCAATTGGATAGCGCTACAACCAATCAGAGCAACGAAGAAGGTGACGACTGAGTCCCATGCGTTTTCCCACCAGCGGAGCAAGCTGACATATTAAACTTTTACCGTATCCAGTCGGCCAAACTCTTACCGTAAAACTTTTACCATATCCAGTCGGCAAAACACATCATTTTTTTTAAAACAATGACTCAAGTGCCGTTCTTTGTTCTGTTTTCAAAGAAAAGTTTAAGTTCAAATCATCCAAATTAGCCGAATCAAGAACAGCTGTTCGCCAGCAGCAGCCATTCTTTGTTTTCAAGTGGCAGTGAACCGTCGCAACTCTGTCGTTATTATGTTAAGCCCGCCCGCCGACTCTATATACGATGTGATTGGCCTGACCAGAATTTGTTTTTTCCAGCTAAAATGTCTATGGAGAGTTGCTAGACCACATGCGAAATAATTTTTTCTGCCACAAGGGCGCGTGGCTAGATTTCTTGGCTATATTGAATAGCCTACGTTCTCAAACTTTTTGATGCAGAGCAACCACCAAATATAATCCTCTTCCTAAAAAACAAACACAGCAATTTATTTAATATCTTAAGTGAATATGTTGATTTTGAAACTCTACAAATTAATTTTGGGATTTTTTTGGCTCCGGCCCCTAAAATCACGTTGTAAAATATGGCTGCATCCAAAATCGCATTTACTTCCCTACTATTTAGTAGACGAAAAACAGTATGTGACATGTCTGAATTCACAGTTCTCAATAAAAGAGTAAAAAGTACCTGGATGACCTTCTTCTGGGATATTTTCGAATCAAATATAATCTCTTGAGCATACTCATTCTGAATAAGGAATTACTTCACAACGGCTAAAAAATTACGTTCTATGAATGTGTGTAATATGAATGTAATCTGGACGTACTAGAAATGCAGTCCTGAAACTGCAGTCTTTGGTATTGCAGGAATGCCTGACACGCAGACAATTATATTGACTAAACAAAGGCCAGGACCAGAAGGACAAGAAATAAAAGCTAATTGTTCACAAATCACCCAACATTTTGTCAGTTGTTCATATTTCAGAAGATGAGTAACCATTCCTGGTATGAAACCTCATTCTTAAAAATCATACATCATGCACATCACATTTATTCTGATGTGAATGTACCACGTGACAGTGTGTTTAGTATACAGAATTATTGCTAGTGACTGGAAACACATAATGCATATTTAGGACACACCATAGGTAGGCCTACTATTTAAATATATTATGCTTTAAACATTTAACATGATCATAATTTATTTACTGGGTATTTATCTTTCCTTCATTAAAGTTACAGGTATGACAAGCACATTTAGGGATGTTTTGCTTCTAGACAGGACTCAAGTGGCTTTTCTCAAGAAAGAGACATGAGCTTTGTCATCCATCACAATGCAACTCATCATAATGTATCTGTGTTCTGCCCTTAGACACTCTCTTGCTGTCACTGCAGTTTATAACAGTGCATTATTTATTGCCTTAGAGCCAAAACAATAATTCTGAACAGTTTTCTGCTCCTGAGCACACTATCATTCAGATGGTGGCACTATCAATCTGTTTGAGTGCAAAAAGGGTTTTAGATTTTTTTAAATTAGCTTTTATATGTGCAATTTACTGTAATGTTCTCATGAATAATTTACCCAAGACACAGACCATTTCCATCAGTGTCGAAGAACCACAAACATAGAACACACATTGAATCGTGTAAAGATTATGCAGAAGCAAGCAAGAACACAATTTCCAGGCTTCAAGTTCACACCGATTTTATCCTCAGTAGTCAATACCTCAATTTCACACTATGCAGACGAGGGATACTGAGACAACGTCAATGAAATTACAACACTTTTACCTAGATTTCTGCTGGACTTCCATCCAAAAATACAGATTAACCTGGAATGTGCATCAGACGTAATATTCACGTGAAACTGCATTCTCTTGCCTCTCAGACTCTTGTCAATCTTGAGCTGATTATAACATCTGAGGTGGAGGGTTACTTGTCCATTTACAGTTTTTAACAATCGCTGTGGCACTAATATTAGAACCTTGATGTGATTTTTCAAAGCTCCAAGCACAAACCTCACAAATGTTGATCAAAACGCATTTTTTTTTTCATTTTAAGAAAACACTTATTCAAATGCTTGAATAATTAGTTCATTGAACAAAGATCACCTGTTCAAATGACACAACATAACATCAAAATATTACACACTACATCTGAGTTGACTTTACTGTATATTCATTATGAAGATCTAACTGTGAATTGATTAATACGATACCGTTGCATTACTATTAATGCAGTTTAATAGAAACTGAGAAACAATTTTCCACGTTTACATAATGAATGTTTCAGGATTTATTACAGTAATACCAATAACCATATAACATGAACCAATTGTAATATATTATGATGTAATATTTCCTCATGATTCTTTATCAGACACTTATATGGTCCCATGTACCACATTCCCACACAATATTTTCATTTTTGGCATTACTGTTGAATTCAAAAAAGTTGAGAGTGCCATTCTTGCCACACCAGTAACATCATGAAAGGAAAGGGAGGCCAAGAAAACTGCTTAATAGTCTATCACAACGTTTTGTAACAAGATAGGTTAGTAGGGATGTGGAAATGCTTCTCAAAGCTGGCTGTTCTTCATATTTTCATCCAGCAGGCTACTTACAGTCAGGGCTTAAATGCAGCAAACATGCTTGGCAGGGTGCAGCAATCCCAACAGCAGTCAAGCTCTCATCTGAGAGAAGCCCTGCTTCTCCGACTCTCTCTGACACCCCGTGTGCTGTCAAATCAATGAGCAGAGGACACTGAGCCTTTGATCAATGCTAGTGTCTGCGGATTTCAGACCTCTGACAGGCTGGTGCCCCCTCCCGCCTCTTTCAAAGTGTCAGGCTTGTTTCTGCGCTGTGATTGATGTCAATCTCACTCGGAGTGCTGTGTTATCTATTCTAAGTCCTTCGCGGAAGGACCGGAGAGCCGCCGAGCTTATTAATGCTCTTACAGCGCCTCGCTCTTCAGCCAAACTCTATTATAAATTACTGTAAGTTTGGCACGAGGAGAGATTATAATGCATGTGCCCCATTCAAGGTATCCCAAGCACTCTCGCAGGAATGTGCTGATGCCACCGGATTTGGGAATGACCTTGCTTTTACTGAAGTGAATTGTGGAATATATCACTTAGACATTAGGATTGGAAAGGTAATGTTTGCTGAATAGCACACGGGCATCATGCCACATACTCTTAAACAATCACAGTAAATGGAAGTGTGGCCTCAGTATGCTGGCGGTTCCACACAGTGATGTGCATGGAAAACGGAAACAATAGCATACAGTCAAATTACTCTGTTTTTCTGATTTTATTGTGAATCATTGGTGCATGTTATTCCAAAGAAACGTTATAAAAGTTATTCACAGTCTTGAAGCAAAATCTATTACAGTAACGTGCTGTTCTTTTGAATGACTTTCCCTTTCTGCTGTTATCACATAGGCCTTACAACAGTAAATAATGTTACAGTAACTACTGTAAATGTTCTCTAAGCGCTAGTTTACTGTAGCTGAAATTTCAGTTTTTGAAATAGCAATCTTGCATTACTTCTTACTGTAAATTACAATCTTACCAATCATCCACAGAATATTTCCCAGTGAACAATTTAGAGAATGTTAAGAATGTTTCGAAAGATTAACCAAAATATCTAGACAGACAGATAGACAGATAATAGATAGATAGATAGATAGATAGATAGATAGATAGATAGATAGATAGATAGATAGATAGATAGATAGATAGATAGATAGATAGATAGATGCCAATCAAGCTGAGTTCATTAGCCAGATTCTGCTCTAATCTGTTCTATTTGTCTGAGCTACTCTGTCCACACAATCCCACACAAAACCTGAGGTCTGGTGATCAGAGACTTTTGTCTGTCCCCAGATCACGGTTAAAGGATAGATGGGACAGAGCATTTGCGATGGCTAGCCCTAGGCTGTGGAACAGCCATCCGGTTTATCAGAGCGGCTCAATCTCAAACTGTTTTTAAATCCTCTCTTCACTCTTAAAATGGATGTGTTAAAAACAACACAACCTGTGTTATATCTTAACACATCTGTGTGTCTAGTTAAGGACAACACATTTTGTGTTACTTTTAACTCAACCAGTGTGTTATTGTTCTTAACACAGGGAGTGTGATTTCACTAAGTTTGCACTTTGAATTAGATTAAAATGTAGCAACTGACAAAATATTGTGTGTAAATAAGTTTTTATTTACACTGGTGCACTCTTATAAAATGATTTTGTAAATAACACAACCTGTAAAAAGAGATGTTAAAAATGACACATGCTGTGTAGATTTTAACACATAAAGTGCGTGTGCTTAGGGACAACACATTTTGTGTAGATTTTAACACATGTTGTGTAGATTTTAACACATGTAGTGTGTGTGCTCAGGGACAACACATTTTGTGTAGATTTTAACACATGTTGTGTAGATTTTAACACGTTTTGTAGATTTTAACACATTTAGTGTGTTTGCTCAAGGACAACACATGTTGTGTCAAATTTAACACACAACCTGTGTTGTTTCTTTACACATCTCTGTGTTTATAAGGATTACACATTTTGTGTTACATTTAACACAACTAATGTGTTAGACAGCAGCAGTGTGTTGTTGAAACCTTTTACACACTAATGTGTTATAGTAACACAACTTGTGTCAGATATGCGTCACATGTGACTGTAGTCGGAGAGTATTTGCCAGAGTTACTTCCCGTGTGCTTACAAAAGTGTTTGGATGAACACTGACACGTATTGGT